GCATTGTTAGCGCTCGTGTTTTGTTTGTTTACTTGTTTGTTTGTTTGTATATATGTTTCTGTATTTTTATCTATATTTGTTTGTTTGTATCTATGTTTGTTTGTATGCATACTGATTTATGTTTATGTATGCATATATATTTTATTGAAGAACAAAGATTGATGAATAATATATCAGTGTATTGTTCTTAGAATTGTGCGTGCAGTGCTAGAAGTGTTTGTGTGTGTGTGTTTGCGTGTGTGTATGTGTGTGTTTGCGTGTGTGTGTTTGTTTGCGTGTGTGTGTGTGTTTGTATTTGCGTCGTGAGGTGTGTGTGTGAGAATATAAACTAACTAACAAACAAACAAACAAGCAAACAAACAAACAAGCAAACAAACAAGCAAACAAACAATCAAGCAAACAAACAAACTAGCAAACAAACAAACAAGCAAACACACCTGTGAGCCAACCATCCCCTGTATCATAACTCCACTGAGTATCAAACTCAACATCTCATGAGTCTTTGTTTAAGTGTTTAAGTGTTTTGCAATCGGTTTATCGAAAAAATATTTAATCGTCATCGTCGTCATCATCATAATCGTTTTCGTCATCATCATCATCCCCGTCGTCATCATCATCACTTTAACACATTGGCGCTGTTTATTGTATTAATCAATCAGATAATTATAATTCAACGTTCTCACCAGACAAAAACACACTAACAAACAAACACACACGCATACATACATACATACATACATACATACATACATACATGCATGCATGCATACATACATACATACATACATACATGCATGCATACATACAAACATACAAACAACAAACAAACAAGTTTTAAAGTGCAGTCTGTGCATGTGCTTCACATGTCTCCAATATTTTAATGTGGTGTTGAAATTTTAGGCGTCATTTAAATTAGATGATAAGTAACTGACTGGCTGGCTGGCTGGCTGGAATCGAAAAATACTTGCAGTAGTCTCTCTCTTCTCTCTCTCTCTCTCTCTCTCTCCTCTCTCTCCTCTCTCTCCTCTCTCTCTTTCTCGTGTTTCCTCTCTGTGGAAGCAGTAGCAGAAGATGTCGTTCTGTAATGAAGGAATGCATGAATACGTAATTAGAACATTTCACATCACAACTTCACCAATATACCAACCGCCTTATTATGACGTCATCGTTGTATAATCACATGACCACTTCTCCAGACGGTCTTGAACTCCATGCACAAGTACCAGCCCCGCATCCACATCGTGAGGGCAGACGACTTCCGGCACCTTCCATTCACTCAATCTTTCCACAAGACCATCATCTTTCCAGAGACGCAGTTCATAGCTGTCACTGCCTATCAAAATGAAAAGGTTTGCATCTCTTTCTTTCATTTTTCCTCTCTTCTCCCTCATTTTCTCTCACTCTCTCTTGCTTCCTCTCACTTTAATCATTTTTAAACGAATAATTGTCATTGTTCTTCCACTATTTTTGTAATCATATTCGCAGTTACCAGCATCATCGTCATCTTCATCATCACCTTCATCATCATCATCATCACCTTCATCATCATCATCACGATTGACAGGTGACGCAGTTGAAGATTGACAACAACCCCTTCGCCAAGGGGTTCAGAGAGGGTGGAGCCGGCAAAGCTGAAAAAAAGTTATTATTATTATTATTTTTACTAGTAGTAGTAGTAGTAGTAGATGTAGTAGTAGTAGTTGTATCCATCACCATCATTATAAGTTATATATATTATGTTTGATGACGTAAAAATAACTCAAAACAAAAAAGCAAAAAAGACAGCAAATAGAGCAAAGACAAAAAAAACAAATGCATAAAGCAAAGAAACGCAAGAAATATAGAATAAAATGAAAATAGAAAACAAAGAATAAAGCAGAAAAGCACCACCATATCTGTCGAACACGACGCCATCTTGTCTGATAGTTTTTCTTTTTTTCGAGAACTTCCGGCACATCTGTTATTTATGGCAAGCCGGTCGGAAAAACAATCAAATAATAATAAAAATGATAATTACATATTTTTATGATCTTTTTTTATTTCTCGGGTTAGGGTGGAGGGAATTAGGCGGCTATAAGACGATAATAAATAACACGGAATCAATTCTTCCTGTATAAAAATAATTTAATTAACATATCGATAGAAAACAAAATATACGTATCCATACAGTATACTAATAACACCAGCAGTAGTAACAGTAGTAGCTGCAGAGGCGGCCGTAGTAGTAGCAGTAATTTTGTGGTTTCATGTTACTAATAGTAACATGAAACCATGCCGATGATAATCGTACTTGAAAATTCTCAATTTAATTTTTCGTGTGACTAATATATTTCTCGCCTCGTTAGCTCACTAAATGGAATGCCGCTTGTCATCTTTTGTATCAATACCATCTTTGCATTCATTTTTTTTGAGGTGATTATTATTATTATTAAGAATATTATCATTATTATTATTATTATTATTATAACAGTTGCTGTTGTTGTTGTTAATTTGTTGTTAGTGATTTAAATGATAATAATGTTATAATAGTAAAAATAGTAGTAGTAGTAGTTGTAACTGTAGTAGTAGTTGTTGTTGTTGTTGTTGTAGTTGTTGTAGTAGTAGTTGTTGTTGTTGTAGTTGTTGTTTTATATTGTGTTAATGTTCATTTTTTTCAGTTGTTGGCCTTAGTCACTGTTTATGCATCGGTATGCTTCGCTTCTCTAAACTTATTGTACGTATTCACAAATGCATCATCATGATTAATGCTCTCATGATGGCATGGTTCCGCTCTTGTTGTTGTTGTTGGTGTCTTTTGTTGTTGTTGTTGTTGGTGGTGGTGTCTTTTGTTGTTGTTGTTGTTGTTGTTGTTGCTGTCGTCGTTGTTGATGTGTTGTTGATGTTGTTTTTGTTGTTGTTGATGTATTCATAATAGTAGCAGCAGTAGTTGTTATTAAAAGATAGATTTAAGTAATTAAAGTTTTCAAACATGTACAAACAAACCAATGTTCACCAGCGTTCAAACATGTTCACTTCAACAGGAAGTTGAACATGAAGAACGACATGTTGTTGAAGCAGGACAACAGCAGTGGCAGCATGACCAACATCAACAACAATTTTAATCATCATCATTACTATTTTGCTTCAAGTGGCAGCAGCAGTAGCAACAACTACTACCTGCGTCATCACGACTATCATCACCACCAGCACCAACATCATCATCATCATCACCATCACAGTAACGGCAACTATGGCGACAATCATGGCTATAAAAAAGCGCTATCAGACGAGCGCGCAGATTGTCCAGTTGTGACGTCATTTCCGTTTCGTCTGACCGGAAATGCGTCACCGATACTTCCGGCAGAATTTGGCGCCATCAAAATGTCGCCGACTAAATCGAGTGAGTTGTTGAGTGTGCGTTTCTGTCTTGCTGAAAAATACATTATATAATGTTAACTTATATACATGCATG